ATCCCTCCTCCCGCCGCGCAACGCCTTCCGAGCCCCCAAAGCCGCCCGCACCCCCCGGTGCCACCCCGCACCCCCGGGGCCGGGCAGGCCGTGATGCAGCACCGCCGACCCCGCGACCCCCCTCCCTCCATTCCCGGCCGCGCGCTGCGAGGGCTCCGCCTCACCTGTGCGGTGCAGGAAGAGCCCCAGCGTTAAGACCCCGCTAAGGGCGGTGTGGGCGGTTCTCACCCACAGCCCGTCGGCTCCCATGGCGCCGCAGGCCCGGAAGGAGTAGCACTGCAAGGCGGGGTGCGGCCGGCCCGCCTCGGCCCTCCCCTCAGCGCTGCCCTCCCCGTTCCTCCCTTAGCTCAGGCGCAGCCCCGTACCCCTTCGCGCCGTGCTGCCCTACGCGGGGCCCTTGGCCCTGTTTCCCCGGGTACTGCGGCCCTGCGGTGAAACGGGGTTGTTAGAGCCGAGGACTGGCTGCTAAAAGTACACGGCGGTGCTTGGGGCCCGTCCAGGTGTGCGTTGGAGGGCTCTGTGTGAGACGCTGCTCTGGTCTGGCAGATTTATTTTATCAGGTGGTTTCAGAAACGTGTATAGCAGAACGCAGGTAGGCAGCTCGATTAGCAGAGCTCTTTTAGCACGGCAGAGCTTTGGTAGGGGCTGCCAGGGAACCGATCTCAGCTCACACATCTGAAGTGCAGACATTTGTGTCTGAGGTCCTGGGCTCTCCTGGCAGCTCTGGAAGGAAATACAGAACAGTCCTCGTCCGAGCACAGCCATCTGCAGCCCCAAATTGCACCCTGCGTTCGATGCTTTGGTCTCTGCGGTCCTCAGCTTGTTTAGATGTGCCCTCTGCATCTGTTCTGAGGGGACAGAGCTCACCAAAAGCCTGTAGAAAATCTGAAATGAGTGTTTTTTGTTGTTGTTGATCTGCTGCTTTTGTTACCTTCCTTCCCAGTACACTCTAAAGAGGAATCTCACTCTTAGCAATTGTATCCTCCTGCCCCTGGAAAGCAGCTCATTCCTCGGTGCTGTTTGACCCTTAACTTTGATTATTTCTGTCTGTTTTAAATGTCAGAGGCCACTTGCTGCTTCCAGGGAAGCACCTGGTTGCACAGGTGACACAAATTACTTATTTAAGACAGCTGCATTGGAATGTTAATAAACATAGGAACATGGCTTACCAGCTGTGGTGGTGATGGGTTGATGGTTGGACAAGATGGTCTTAGAGGTATCTTCCATAGGTATGGTTCTGTGAGAATGGCCTGAATTTGCCTTTATAATGGTCATTCAAATCCTTTTTTTTTTTCTTGTTTCTTTTTAATTATTCTAGGTAGTTCAGAAACCTACAGAAATCCTCCCTCAGAAGCCTCCTAGATGAGATCAGCACTTGTCAAAACAGAGTTTGGAGGTGGCCTTGCTACTGTCTGCGTGCTTTAAATATCCTGAAAATCTTTCTGTTCAAAGAAAACCTTTCAGAACAGTGGGGAACTCAGAACAGTAACATCAGCCTCTGTCTGCAACCAGGAAAAAAAAGGTGGGAAGTGTTTTTCCTTTCTTTGTGGAGCGGTGTGAACTTTAAAGCTTAATGAGAGCAATTTGAGTAGTAACAGCATTACTCACTTCAAAGCAAAAACATTCTGATATTCCAGAATAATCTGTCCTAAGGGATGTATTCTTTCTCCTCTTGTGGTTAGAATAATTTGGTGCATGTTATGCTTTTTTTGTTCTTCATAGCTTTGAAACCTGTCTTGAATGAGAGCTTATCTCTGCCTCAAGGTTTCCAACCCGAAGGGCTGTCTGGTTGATGTCAGGCTTGGTTAGAAACCCTCCATGAGCAGGTTTCTGGGCAGAGGATCTCCATCCTTATGGCATTCCAGCAAGGAATGTCGTGCTGCTGAAAGCATAAGACATCTCTGTTCTCTGCAGTGTGGTACCTTTTCAGCTCCCTGTCTGTAGTTCCGTTTCACATAACTCCTTCTCCTGCTTCAGCCACTGAGAGTCTGACCCGTCAGAGGTTTTACAGTGACCACTGGATTCACTGGGAGTTGAACTCTTGTGAGATCAGTGTCTCAAGAAGGAAGTCTTGCTGGCCTTAAAGCAGGCTGACTGTTTTAAACTAAAAAGAGTCTTTCTTGAAGTATTCAGCTTCTGCCCACTCGCAGTGCCAAGGCTGCAGAACGCTACAGCCACAGATCTGTTACAGAGTTCAGAGGCAATCTGTACAGTCAAATATTGCTGATTTTTTTTTTTCCCCTCTGACACTATTTCATAACAATACTCTCTTTTTCCATGCCTCTTTTCTATTGACAAACAGTATTGTATCCCTCAAAGTGATGAAAGCAAAAGCCACTGAACTGCACAATCAACACATGGCAGTTCCTTTCGTTTTTAATGAAATATATGACAGCAAATGGACCAATAATGTACCTGTGTAATTCACACTCATAGACCAAAGGAAAAAGACATTGTTAAGCACTAGGTTTAATACACAGAGAGTATCCCAATGGATACAACAGAAAAGTTAATTCGTTCAGAATTGTAAGGAAGGAACAATTGTGCATGATTTTTTGGGGGGGGGTTGGTTTCATCATGAACAAACGTTTGAACCAGGCCTCTCAATGCAGGCAGGTCAAGGGACGGAGTAAAAGCAGAAGCTTGCTCATTATTACTGAGATTATTTTCTGTATGCAGAATGTGGGAATAGCTATTTGGTTAGCTAAAAAACTTTTTTTTTTTTTGTTGGAATTACAGAAAGAATCAGTGACAATTATCTGAAGCCAAAATAGTCTGTTAGAGCAGAAATGTTTCAGTGAAGCAGGAAATCTCCCTAATTCCTGTTCTTAAGTACCATCTTTTCATCCATCCCTGACAACCGTTACCCTCTTTGCTTTGTACAGATGGTTGTCGTGGAGATCAGCTGTTTCCCCTAATTTTTATTGTCTTTTTTTCCAGTGCATGCCACCCCCTACACCCCATCTGTGGCAGTCTTCTTCCTAAACAGCCTCAAGAAGTTTTTTCTTGTGGAGCAGTGCCTGAATGCAGTGCCCTTCCTCTGCTGCCCCGAAAATTCATCATCTTCAAGTAATGAATAGAATAAGCTCACAGCTCTAAGGCTTTTCTTCCCCTCATCTTTTGCAGAGACCAAAGCAACTCAAACAGGAGGCTGGGTAGGATTCAGTGCTGAACAGATAATATCTGAGCTAGCAGAGAGGTGCAGGGCCATAACAGCTATGATGCAGAAGGGTCAGATTAATTATTTGCATTGTTAATAATTGCCACAAGTGTGAGTGCTAAACTTTCTCAGCATGGTCTCAGTGGGAAAGTCTGGTGCTGCTACACGTTAAGCATCATGCACACAGATGCCAATCTGTACAAGCAGTTCCTCCCACGGATCTTGTCAAATGGAAGCACCTGTGGAAAGCTGCCCACCAACTTGCTGTCATGTCTATTCCAGGGAAAATGGCAGACACCTGACGCCCCGTGTGCCGAGGGCTGCTGCATCATTGTGCTGGGTCACTGAGCCATGAGGCATTTTCCAGCCAGAAAGGAAACTACTTGCACTGGAGGTAGAGGGTTCCTTTGCTGGAATAGTATCTGCAGAGAATTACTGAGTTGGTTCATGTTCTGCCTGCCCAGCTTTTGAGTATTAAGGGAAATGTGAACCTAAAAACATGAATGAGAGTGTGAATAAGACAACAACTGCAAAGCAAAAGGAGTCCCTCTGCCATACTTGATCAGACTGTGAGCTTCTTTCCACCTGTATTTTCACCTTACATTTGGAAACCCTGTTATAGTTTTTCAGACAGGATTGGTTTCTATAATCTTGAGTGTGAAACTGAAGCCTCCTTCCTCTGCAGTATGGGGTTTGACATGGGACAGTTATTTTCTAAACTGGCCGTTTCAAGCTCAGGGAGGGTAGGTTTAGGTTGGATATAAGGAAAAAAGTCTTCTACAGTGAGGGTGGCGAGGCACTGGAACAGGTTACCTAGTGTTGTGTTGTGGTTGATGCTCCATCTCTGGAGACTTTCCAGGCGAGGCTGGATCAAGCCCTGGGCAACCTGATCAGATCCAGCTGCAGTGTGCATTGCAGGGCAGTTGGGCTAGATGGCCTTTAAAGGCCCCTTCCAACTCTGAGGGTTCTATGATTCTATGTAGCTAGCTATTCTATGTAATTCTATGTAATAGACCAGAGATAGTTTCCCCCACCCCCTATATGGTTAAATGGCAGATTTACAGAGCTAAACCTTTATGGCAGGCTGGCCTGACTCCATTAATCTCCACATTCCTGGGAATCAGAAATCTTTTTCTGGTTCAGACTCAGGTACACGAGGATACATGAGCAGTGAGAAGTTATCTTTGCTTTGAAACAAAGGTTTGTTAGTTTGTGGTACCACAGTGCAGCTGCAGCAGGCGTGACTTCAGTAACAGCTCAACTTACAGAGGGACTGCTTTGAACTTTTGGGGTCCTTCAGGCTTGAGGCTGATGGAACCAAGCCACCATTTGTTCATTAACCTTGAAGTAGTTTTGTCAAAATCTCAGAGTAAAGCCTGATTACAGCGCAAGGCTGAGATGTGCTCCAGCTGTCTCTCCTGCAGGGCTGCTGCGTTCTGAGGATACAGGATTCTGACAGTGTATCCACCATGTTTCCCCATCTCCTCCAATCCCACCTTGCCAACATTGTCAGAATCATTAGAGTTTTCTTGTCACTTGATTCAAGATTTTAGTGGTGGAAGTCTTCACTGAGTGGACATCAGAAAGGAAGAAAATCTAGTGGGTCGGCACTGTCACGAGACAACTTCAAAAGGATAGCACTGCATAGAGAATAATGTGAGCAAAGCCTGGCTCCTGCAATGCGTGGAGGCTGGTCAGCACTATATGCAGCTGCTCTTAGTTTTGCATCTAGGAGAATGATTAGCAAGCATTACACAGAAAAGGCCATGAAACAAACATCTCTGTCTCAAAGCTTGCAGGGACAGAAATTCTTAGGGAACAGGAATAAAAGAGAGAAAAATACATTTCAATCAAACAACCACAAAAAAGTGTAATTTGTCAAGTTTTTCAAACTGTATGAAAACAATTCAAAAGTGACACAAAAATATATATATAGTTTGAAAAATACTTAAAGAAAAAGTACAGATCTCACAATATCAAAACATGACATGGTTAAAAAGAGAGAAGAAAAGACATTGGGTAACACCGTGTTGGCAGAAAAAAGTAAACCCCTCCAGGGCAGCTGTGTTCTGTCATTTAAAGTGTCAGTTTGTGTCCCTAGGATCTGTCCATAATGTGCTCAGTAATGACAGCATTAACTCTGAGCATCAGAAGAACCTCAGTCATAGCAGCAAGCAATGTAAATGAGGGAAGAGAGCAGCAATGGTTACTGTGCTATCCCAGAGGCCTGACCTGTCCTAACACACATGGCCACGGTTTCCTCTCACTGCAGATGTAAAATCTTTTCAAAACCACTTTTAAGGGAAGAGCTGTGAATTATGAAAGCACTGTGACAGGTGGGGCTCTGAGCATGAACTGCACAACGTGATGCTGAGTGCCTGGCTGTGAAGCAGCCTTTGGCCCTGGGCTTTTTAAGACTCTGTAGGCCTGGGGTTTTACAGGTGAAGACCAGGGGGTTGGAGATTCATGATCTTTGAGGTCCCTTCCAACCCTGGCCATTCTCTGATTCTGTGACCAGCTTAGTGCGGATTCTCCTCTCCCCTAACCCATATAAATTGGAGTGAATCTGCTGATGGGAGTGGGACTGCACTGGGTAGTGCTAGCAGTAGGATAAGAGTAGTGCCAGAAGAGGGGGAAGATGTTGGGATGGAACAAGAGGTGCTGTTTTAGGAGATGGTATTCCAAAGGGTTCCTAGAGACTCCTCAGCCTTAAAGAAGATGTTAGCACCTCAAATGACAGCATCTGTGCTGCAGTGAGGGTACTTTACCACTGAGTGCAGGCTGAAGAAGGGTAGAAGAGCTTCAGTCATTTACTGGGACTTGCACACGTGGCCCATGGCCTGGTAGGGGTTATGATGCCATTTTCTGGCATTTATAGCCCTTCTCCATGAAGCAGAACAAAACTAAAAAGGTGTTGAAAAAACTGGTATGAAGATGTATAGCCCTTTGTGAACAAACCTTGTTCCTTTATGCACAGGCTCCCTTAGAGGGAAAAGCTCTGCGTTGCCAAGGATGTGTAACTGCTTTTACTGGTCATCCCTGACCACATGAGTCTAGGTGGGCTGGCAGATCCTACAGAACTGCCAAAGGGGACAAAACAGAATTCCTGACATTAACAGGAACCTCTTACTTCCAAATGAACCACATACATTTAGCAGTGCTTCCATTAATAGGACTCTACCATAAAAAACCCTTAAGAGAATGAATTGACTTAAAAGATAATTTTTCCCCGTTTCCTCTACTTAAAAACATTACCAAAAAGTTCAGTTCTTTTGCTCTGACTTCTTGGTAATGTGTCCCCCAACCTTCAGAGCAAATAACTAACTCACTTCTGCCTGTAAACCCACTGAGTGGCCAGTGCTGATTCAGGACTGGTGTTCTTGCATTGCAGGACCTCATGCAATACAGCAAAAGGGAATTTTCTAAAAAGTGGGAAGGAAAATGTCACACTAGTGATCACACAACTGGGTTTTCAAGCTCGTGATCATTTGGGGCTCTCTGTATGGTCTAAAAAAAAAAAAAAAAAAGGTTAAAAGATACATAATGTAATTGTCTTTTTTTGTTTTCTTTTTATACAGAAATCATACACACAGAACTTCAATCTGAAACTTCATAACGAAAAAGTCCACTAATTTAAGGAAAGCGTTTTGTTGTGCAAAAAGTCCCTCCCTCCCTCCCCTGTTCACCTTCATCTACTGAGGGTCTCACACACACACATAAAGTTTCCTTCCAACAGGCGAGTTGGTCAGAAAGAGTCCTCACTATGTACAGTGAATTAGAGAGAAGCTGGATACAGTGCTGGCAAGAGGCATTAGATGATTGCCTCTATCTGGAAGTGTCCATGTTCTCCTCCTTAAAGTTACTGCAGTGCTCTATAACTTTCCTAGGGATAAAACAGGACAAGGGAAGAAGGTTTAGTTTAATGCTTGTCGTGTTATGGCTGTGGGACAGTAACACAAGGACTGCTGTTTGTAGCAGTCAGTCTCTTCTGATATACATCAACCAATATTGATATCAAAACCACTATACTCCACACAAGCAGCTTAAGAGCTTGGAATTTCATCCTCTTGGAATTTCAAGTCATATTAGTATATCTCCAGATCATTCATTCATGACCCCCACGCCTCAATCGTCAGATAACTTTGAATTGTATCAGAAAACACATGCATACAAATGGTTTCCATGCACTCTACTGTTACCTGTCCTTGCTTTTTCTATTCTTTCCATTTATTTTTCTTGGACTATTGCATCACCATATGTAATCTCCATAACCTGTGACAGTCTTCTGCAGGCTTCTACCACCTCCAGCATTGAGCAGCCCTTCAGCTGTGGGGAATGCCTGCTACCCACAAGGTACATATTCCCAGCTGATCTACATTTCTCTTTAATATTCATCCTGCAGATATGAAGTTACAGATCTCAGTTTGTCAGTGACTAGAAACTGCAGCTGTCTGAAAACTGAAAGAATGACTCCAAAGGAAGGTCACACAGTAAGCTGGGAAGGCTCACAAAAGTGATGGGCTCTCTCCATATTTTGAAAATCCTTTGATTTAAACTCTGCAGTCAGCTCTATCATTGACAGACTGATATTCTGGACAGAGTTCACACCTCAAGTATGAAGTATAGTGATGACTGGGGACGATCAAGTTAAGAGATGCAATAAGCAGCTTTCTTGCCACTTAGAGAACCTATTTGCCTGGTATCCATAACCACTGATTACCAGTGCTTATTGCAAATGTATAAACACCTCTAATCTTCTGTTTCTATCTTCCTTTTCCTGCTCTCTGCTTGTGTTTATTTCACCTCTCATAAAGAGCACAAGCTTTTCTTTGGTAGCTTTCCTTGATGTAGGGGAACAGGAAACTAAACTGAAGTTAAACTGAATGTTTGATGACAGTGCATTAGTTTCCTACCAGGCCATTTCCTTGGTCTCTTGCCGTGCTGAGGCCATTTTAATCATGTCCTTCAGAAGGGGAATCCCACCTTCTTTGATCAGCAGTGGGCAGTACTTGTCAGCTGCAAGGAAAGAATAAGACAAGTTCTTGTGAACCTTTCCAAAAGCAGTATAAGGAGTGGCAGGAGGGGAGGGTTGGAGAAATAACAAAACTTCAATTTTTTATGGAGCCAACCTGTTAAGGGTTGACTGTAAAATCAAGGTACAAAATGACTGAGAAGAGCACGGCCAGAGGGATCTAAACATTGAAGAAATTTCCTATACACGACGTGTTGTTTATTGCTTGGCTATGCTGCCTGGACGTTACAAAATTATTCAGGTAAGGCTCTTGCTAACTACATAGCTAAACTGGGATCAGTTTTTCTGCTAAGAAACTTAGATCCACTGTGTGAACTTGTGCAGTGCAATGGATGTGATTTTAAAACTTACGGTAGACAGAGACCAAGTTATAGAGTGCCCAGGTAGCCCAGTGCTGGCTGACAGGAGAGATCCCTTGTGGAAGAAGTCGAAGGATTGGTTCAAATGACCTGCACAGAAATATTGTAGAAGTTGTTAAAAATCCAAGAACTGCTTCTTTCAGCACCTTTGTCACTCAGAGCAATACATACTCTGTGTTCATAGACACCGTAGCAGTAAATCCTTTAGCATGCTAAAGATTCTGGCATCAAAGAGCAAGTCTGTGTCACATGGCAATACTGGCAGGCTTACAGGCCCTACCACTTCAGCATAAACATGCTGTCCAAATAAATAACTGCAAAGAAGTCAGCTGATTTCTATTCTCTGTCAGTTATTTTCTTATGACAGCTGAAACAGCACCACTGATAGTTCTGTAGAAGGTCCAAAGCAAAATTACACCCATCCAATGCCAGCTGCTCACATGCAACAGCTGCTCTGTTTCTTATGACAATAGCATGTGCATACTGTAGCAAAAGCACTGGAATGCCATTTGTTTGGGATCCCTGCCAAGCACTATGGGAAAACAGAATACCTGATACCCTTATAGAGGAAAAGCTTTGGAGGATGCCACCAGCTGCTTTAACCCATTCAGAGATTTCTGGACACTCTGTCTAGATATTCTCCAAAGGAGAGTGAAAGCAGGGCAACGCGTGTGACTTACAGAATTAAGCAGTATTGAAGAGGTGCAAAGAATGGAAGTCTCAGAGAACATCATTTAGTCAGTCTCACCAGCCAGTCAGATCATGGGTTTCCTGAACTACACAATTCCACCAGAAACATGCAGGATAAATTCTGCTGTGTTCCCATGCTCCTCCCATAAGAATTGCCAGGCAAGGTATCGAATTTTAGCAGCCTGTGTAACATGCTACCCTGACTCAAAGGAAGATGTGAAACTCTCACTGAAGAATACATTCCTAAGGATTTCTCCTCCATTCTAAGCAGAGCCTCCATGCTTGGCTGTATCTCTTTCATCTGTTGGTGTTTGCTTTCTGTGACAATCCTGGCTCTGGGTAAATGGGCCAAACTCCTCTGTTTCTCACCTGTAATTGATATTTCTTCTGGAGTTGATATCCCAGCTCTGGATGGCTGCCCACATCCTCTTTACAACTTCCTCTCGGTGGGGCTCACAAATACCCCAAGCCTCCGGACCATCAAACATGATATGGGAGAGCACCCCACAGGCATTATAGGATACCTCAATCCCATCTGCTTTGCTCTCTAGCAGATTGCTGCAGAGAGAGAAGAAATCGTTTAGAGGTGCCAGAATAACCTTATTCAGCATCTTCCCAAAACAATCACATCTTTTATCTACATCAGAGATGATTATTGAGAAAATATCTCCAGCCTGAAACAGGAGTTGTGCCCTTCAGAGATGCAGCTTTTCAGCAGCATTAACATCACAACCAAACCCTTACAATCCAATGCATTCACTAAGGTATCTTATTATTTCCTTTTAGCTTTTTTTTGAATGACCAAAAACCCAATCTGATGCATCAAAAGCTGAACAGTCTCCAGGTGATGTGGGAGCAGAGCTCCGGAGTGCTCCTCCTGCCCCAGCCCAGCTGTTTGTTAGCTAGGCACTCACCTGAACACACTGATGAACTGGGAGGTCATGAGCTGTGGACGGAGTTCCCTGACCTCAGCCACATTGCCCAGGAGGCCCAACATATTGCGGTGCAGCTCCTGTTTCTCTGGGAACTCCTAAGAAAGCAAGAGACAGGATTGTACAGTAGCAGAGATATGGTGGCAACAGGAATGAGAAACTATTGAGAAATCACATCTAGAAAGGATGAGGATTTTTGGGTAGCTATCAGTGTTTTTTTAGTAGATTTCCAATGGTATCTCTAGCATTCAAGAGACGTGTGATATGAGAACATCACAGGCTAGGGCCTATCATTCACTGCTGCCCTGCTTAAGGAGGAGTGTGTATAAGACAGGAAAAAGGAAGATGTGCTGAGTTTAAGTTTCTCTGTTCTTCTAGTTGGGTGGTTGGATCACAGAAAGAATGAAATATGCAACTTTCTTCCATTTATGCAATATAGGAAGTATTGCTTATGAGTTAGCTTAGCTATTTTCATCTCTGCTGCTAATGTCAGCATTCATCTAGAGGAAACCAGCCATACTTACTTTCAAGCACTCCAGGAACAGTTTCATACCACTGTAGTTGAGGAACATCTCACAGTTGTCAGGAGTCTCATCAGTAATGTTCCAGAGGGCACTCCATGAGAACTCCATCACCTGATCACACTGCAAGGATGAAGAAACAGCTTTGCTAATGTAAGAGCCCGGTGCAAACCAAATACTTGCTTCATCTCTGACAACACCCCAGATAACTTCAGAGGTAAGAAAATCTTGTTATTTGCTTTCAACTTGTTTGCAAGTGGGTTTTTGTTTTTAACTATTTTTGTCTCCCTGCTATGTTTGTCCCTTCAGCCCTCACCACTATGACAGAAAATTCTGCAGCACCAGCTGGGATTTCCCATGTTAGGTAGAGAAGCTGGGCTGGCACTCCAGACTATCTCCGTGTCCAAGTCAGAGTAAAGAAAATATTATTTATACATTTTAGTGGGTAACACTCACCGTTTTATCAGCCAGCTTCTTCTGAATCAATTTTAGCATTGTCTGTGGGCAGAGGAAGAGGAATAGTGAGAACAGTTCAAGAATCACAGAGCTAAAACCAACAGGTTCAGCTGCTGCAGAGCTGGCTACAGCAAACTGTAAGTGTATGCAATTTTGACCTTTTGCAGAGTATCTAACTAGTACACCTTTCTCTAAACCAGTGGGACCAGGTTATGTTCAGTGTTGCAAGTATTTGCAGAGCTAAACTATGTCACGCTCCCTGAACTGCTGGGTTTGCAGTCAAAGTTTGGAATGTGGTGTAACTGCAACAAAGCAGCGGCCTCTGCAGTTCTTTTAAAGGGGTGAGATATGCACTGATGTAAGTTGGAAATCTGATGCAAACTCAGGGAGGTGCAGAAGGAAATAGTCAAAAGGTTTTACCAGTTCTGGAAATTGTATGGTGTAGTGAAGATGGAACGTGTCAGGTCACACTGCTTTCATGGACAGCCTGTCTCTGAGACCATGACTTCTAGTGTTTGCAAGCCAGTAAAAGATGCCACATGGAGGGGCAGGGTTCAGGATAGGTTAGCCTTGCTGGGACAGATGCTCCCTTCTATGATACAGTAAGCTTGGTTCACTGCCTGGATGCATTTGGTGCATGGCTGCAAGGAAATGGTGGTAGCTTGGGTTAAGGATAAGAAGACACCTTGGGACCATACCAACCATGACAAAACCCATCTTGCCCACAGCTTCTTTATGATCGTTGTCCACCTGGCAGACCAGAGCATTACAGAGGTGCACGGCAATGCGCTGGATAGACTCATCCTGCCGGCTCTGGTTGAGGATGTTCAGCAGCAGCTCATTTACTCGGCGGTACTGGAACTCCAGCTCCTCAGGAATGCTGAAGTTGCACAGTGTGAGGCAGCAGTTCCGCTGTACCTGGGTCATAAGGAAGCAAATGCTGCACCAGGTGGCTATGAAAACATGACCTAACCACCTCATGTTCCCTTGTTGCTTGGTACTGAAATCATAGCACTACAGTTTGCTACCCTCATCCCTAGAACTCTGCTTTAGCTAAGCTCTCAGTAGGTATTTCTTCCTCACTGTCACTCTGGTCTCAAGTGGCCACCCAATCATCCAGTACGTGTCACTTTCTAAGCCAGTTCTTCACTGTCTATCAGCTTTCTATTCAGAAGTCACTTGCTGTAGCCCAGTGTCAGCACTTCTGATGACAGTGCATTGGCATACTGTTTCTTTCTGTTGACTAAATGCCCCCAACACCCTCACCATTTTCAACTCATAGTCTGTGCTGGACATCTATGCTGTGGGTTATACATTTTTTGACCACTAACATCAGCTAAAAAGGTGCCTTGCTATTATCACTTATTTCTCCTGGTTCTGGAGAACATCACAGGGATAAGGAGCACCTTGTGTGTAATCCCTAACACCTGAGTGAAGACAAAAAGCAGATCTGGGCAATAGGTTCTCTGATGCCTGCCTCAGCTCATGTATTGGAGGCTTAGAAAACGCAAATCCTAACACCAAGCTAAAGATGTAACACGGGGAAGGAGAACTATGGGAGCCAAAGCAAGCTGGGCAGCTCTTACTGTGACTTCCTGGTAGGACTCCATGCCATTCAGCACCACCTGGATGACCTGGCGTCGCAGCTTTATGCTCTGCTCCATGCGGTACTCGGAGTTGGTCAGGTAAAACAGTGCAGCACTGCCTGTCACCTGGATGTTTTTGTCATCCTTGTGGCACTTGAGGGCTGTGATCACCAGCTGCAAGGAAAGAACGTGAAGTTTCAGTGCCACTGACTTGCTGTGGAGTCTTGGAGTGATGGTTATGGATGTGTGTGGCAAAGGCTACAAGGAATGCACAGCTCAGGTGTTGCAGGAAGATGCTCATGAGGTGAAGGTACTTAGTTCTACCATTCTACTGGAACTTTCTCCAGAATTATGTGGCGTCTCAGGGTGAAGAAAAGGCTGGGACTGTGAAATTTCCCTTGTAAGTGTGAGTTAAATGCTCACGTGATGCTTACCTGGAGAGCTCGCAGCAGCTGGCTGCAACGCTCAATACGGGCGATGTCAAAAAGGAGGTTGATGGCACGAGAAGTGATTTCTGGCCGGTGTTCAGTGTAAGCCTCGATAGCGTTCAGAACTTGCTCTTCATTCTTGTCTCCACTCACCTGGCATGGAGGAACAAGAGACAGGGAAGAAAGAATGAAGAAAGCAAGCTGGTGTGAGAACTCCAGGGTAGGTCTGAAAGGTCAGAGGGTACAACTGTCCTCTGTCCTGTTGTAGGATTAGGCCCATGATGGGAGCAAAGAAGGCGAGTCACTTCTCAGCCCAGAAGGACACAAAATGCTATCTCTGGTAGTCACAGACACCCTGGTCCTTCAGTCAGGATGATTTCTTCAGGCCCTTCTCTAAGAGGCGTTTTCTGTTGTTGTTTTGGTTTCTTTAGCACTTGTAAGAGCTGTGTGGGGTGTGGGTCTTGCCTTCTGACCGCCCTCCTGCATTATCAAGTAGCTACTGAAAGGTGAGAGCTAAATTGTCACACACAAAACCCTAAGAACTCCTCTCTATTAGCAGGCAGATCTCTGAACTACTACCAACATTCTGACACCCTCGTTACCTTATAGGCTGGAATATGCGTCAGGCGGCAGAGAGATGTTTCAAAAAGGCCCAGGAATTGGAGTGGTCGTTTCAAACCCCGGAAGGGAGCAATGCTGCTCTTTGCTGGCTCAATGCTGAGGAAAGAAAGAGGTGAGTCATGTTGGTACCCTGCTTCTCCAGGCCACAGAGACAGCTGCTTGTTCTCTGCTCACTTTGTCTGTACTGCTCTGTAACTAGAGTGATAATATCTATATTTCAGTTGTGCACCAACCAGCTTCTCCTAAACCTAAACAGGCATGATGAGTCCCAGGTGAACCTGAGCAAAAGGCTAAACACACTGAGGAATTAAAACAGCAGTAAGAATTGATGATGCAGCTTTCCTGGACAGAATTTGTCCTGGAAATGTAACAAGCTAGGGCAAAGACTTCTTAGGAATGTGGATTTCACTGATCTAAACTATTTGCAAACTTGATGGTGTATCATCTGATAAACATGCTAGTCTGCTTCTGTGATCATGCAAGAACACTTCTTTTATTGCTGCCATGTCCCTTATTGACCAAGAGCCTATATATAATATATATATGCTCTTGGTGTGTGCATATATATATATATATATGTATATAAAACCAACTTTGTGAAGAAGACAGTACTGTCTCATTTGTTTGCTTTTGTCCAGTAAGTGCTTAGTGAACAGGAGGGCAGAGTTCTTGGCTGACCTGGAAAGCCACTCCTCCAGGTCTGTCCTACTGAGGTGCACCAAGATTTTCAAAAGTTGGTCTGTGCAGCATTCAGGTCAGATCTGAAAATCTGCCTTTAGATTTTAAGTTTCTAAAGCACTCAGTCATCCTATGAACACTGATGTCTTGACTGAGTGTATAAAACCTCCTGTCTCAGAAGGGCCTAATTTCAGTCAGTATTTTATGTGTTTTTGTAGGAAATGTGTAAAGGGCTCTGGATATATAAACCACTGCGAGAGACCTCTGGAAGAATCTATGTGGAATGTAGAGATGTATGTAAGCTAGGCAGAACAAATCTTTGTTAGTACTAACGTGTCCTTACCTGTGTCACTCACAAAAATCACAGCTGATTCCCACTCTAGACTTCAGCATCGAGAACCAGCAACAGTTGTATCTTGCTTTTTACTATCAATTAGGCCCACAGAATTTGGAAGCCCAAAAGTGGGAACAGTTTGTAATTCATCTCTGACCCATCTAGCTAATCCAAGCAGACCTCAGTAATTGCTGTTTCCTTACCTTGTCTGGCCCATCTTCTCTTCCATGTTTGGGATAGTGCAGTTCTCCAGCATAGTGTGCCCTGAGATATCGAGCGAGGTCAGGTTTACCAAGTTTTCCACAAACAGGTTTAGAACCCGACGGGTCAGCTTGAATTTATAGTAACTGGACAGATGGTCTCGAGAGATATCCAAGTGTCTGCAAATGACAGAGAGCAGCTCAGAGCCTGGAAAGCATCAGCGGGGTTTCTGTGGCTGTGCCAGGGGAAAATGACAAGCAGACTGTGGTGGTGATTGTTATTTCCTTCCTAAGATACAGGAATGTGGTTCTGTAGGATCAGGCAGCAGGATCTGGCCTTGTGTCTACCAGAAGCACACATATCTAGTGGAGGTCTACTTAAAATGGAGCACGAGTCATTTGGCTGTGCCATCACAAAGGAAATTGCTCTAGGCTCAGGAACTGCCTTTCCCAAGCTCCATCAAAGCGCCCACCTGAGCATTTCTGCCTGGTGACTGAGATGCACTAGAGGATCTTTGCATTCCCAGAAATATCTGTTGCTTCATCCCACAAATTAACTGACACAAGTTTTTGTCTGCATTCCCGATCTCTTTTTTTTTTTTTTTTTTCCACCCCAGGCTATTATTCTCTTAATTATTTCATTTACCTTCAGATATTTAAATGCTTAAGCTCTGGGGAAACCCCTGGAGCTGAGGAAGTTGTGGGACAATCTCATTGGCTATAATGTGCAAATGTCCCTTACAGGACAGGGCCTGCTTGTCTGCCAAGAAAAGATCCTTCAGGAGAAACTAAACTGCCTAAGACAGAAACCAACATCATACGTACAAAAGTATCTTCTACATATTATAGACCAAGTTTCACTGCAGCTCACCAGCAGTTAAAGTCACTTGGATTTAGTCAGTGTTACCCAGAAGCTTGGCTGAGACTCCGGGGTCGTACATTAACGTGGTACCCCTTTCTTTTTGGGTGAGAAAGTTCTGGATCCTTTTTCTGATACCACTGTGCAGTCTGAACAACGACTGTCTCAATTCCATGTCAGGAAGCCATTTTGCTGTCAGTGCTGTCAGCCATTTCTTTGCACTGTTTTGTTCCTTGACTGCACCATCCACAAGCAGTGCACTTACACAGCGTGCAATGAGTAGATGCTCTGAGCTGAGAGTTTGTTGTGGTTCTACCTCAGAGCAAAGTCTGGGTGTTCCTGTTTAACAATTGTTTTGAAGGACCGAATTTCAGTATGATTACCACTATCCTAGTACCTGTGTACATCTACAGCCATTTTTTTTGTCATCTCTTGGGAGTTCTGCTGGGTTTTTTTTGTTTGTTTGTTTGGGGGGGAAGGGGAGAAGGGAAGCTCTTTCTTTGTGTGTGTATTTACTATTTTTGCAAACAAAACCCAGTCTGGCTTTAACCATGTCAGACGAGCAGTGAGTCGGTGAACGAGCCTGTTCATGGGAATGTTTATAAGCTGAAGCCAGCAGTGGATGGCTGTCCATGAAAAGGCACATATCCCATTCTAATAAACCTGCATGGTTCCTATCAGTGGGATAAAGACAAATAAGGAAGAAGACATCTGCTGACCTGAGCTTGTGAAGCTGTGCAATCACTTGGATGTGCTCCTCTGAAAGGTCCATGTTGTAAAGCACTAAGGAAACCAGACTGTCCTTCCACTGTGTCAGAAATCCCACATCATTCAGCTGGATCCCAGAGAGGTCAAGAGCAGCAAGGGAGGTCAAAGGCCGAAGCAATGTCTCTACGTTGACCCCTTCAATCAAGCGGCCCAGATTCAGGAAGCGCAAGCGGCTAAAGCCTTCAAAAGTGAAGTCCTTGACCAAAACCTGGCGAGTGGGGTTCACCAAGCAGTCATCTTCACAGCCTCCGGGGTTCTCTTCCTCATAGAAGATATTGCAGCATCCAAAGAGGCTAAGGGAAATAAGCGTGTGGCTGAAGCTCACCAAAGTTTGCAGACTCTTGGCCGTCAGCTTCTCGCAGTTAGTCAGGTAGAGCTCAACAAGATCCTGGAAGATGGGAAATGGAACAGTTACAAGAATTTCAAAGGCGGAATGCCCACCCTGCTCCCTACAACACCTCTCAGGGACAGCTTGAGAACCTGTACCACCAAACTTGACCAGTACCCCCACCCCATTCCTTACAGCAGCTTTAGGAGCTGAGGAAGGGGATGCTGAGTTTCTCCCAGAGAAACCTGTGTGGAATCTTGGGATTTCTGGGATTCTAGCTGGTCCCCATGCAACAGTGCTGCCATGCGAAGTGGCAGCTGGAGGCAGTCACTGCAATGCCACCTGCTTCCTGATGGCCTCCAGATCCTGGTCCTGCACGATCTGTTCCCGCAAGTGGATCCGAGCTAGCCTGGTGCTCCGTGGATCTGAGAAGAGGGTGAAGAAGCTTTCATGGGGTTCAAAGATGCTGTCTGTCTTCACCAATTCCACATACCTGTATTGAGGCAATGGTGTTAGCACAGCACAACAGAAGACAAAGGCTCAGTTACAGCTCTGGCACCTTTCCTGGCTCTGACAAGATGTTACCGAGTGCATGTGCACAGACTTCCTCCTGGAGGCTGGGCTATTCGCTCTTCCTCTGCAAAACTAACAGTCCTTAGGAAAATCTAAGGCAATGATTTGTGCAAGGTCACATGTATTTCTGAGTAAACTGGATTCTGCCAAGCACAGACTCTAGAACTATTTTTTTTCCGTGCTGTTTAAAGCTATTAACTTGATTTTTCATTTTCAAAAAATTAGCTTGGCAGTTTTCTGCCAGACATCATAAGCAAGGGTTCAGCCAAGGGAAACTAATAGCCAAATGATAAAGCCCTGGAAACAGGTTGCCTTGTGAAGCTATGGGAGCAGCAGCCTTAAAATGCGACATCTGTTAGCTCTTTGTACTCTTACTTTTCTGGTTTGAGAGAGAGTTGTAATGGTTCAGTGGTGGGAAACAGGGAGGCTCCTTTATTGCTTACTGATGTTCTTGGAAGAAGCAGGGACTGTTCATTTCACTCAGGGTTTACATATATGGAAATGGTGACTGCTGGGATACAATAACTCCCAGGGGACAATTCCTTCTGGAGTTCATGCAAATCCTTATTTCCAATATGAGGCTCACCAGAAAAAAAACAAAACAAAACAAAACAACCAAACCAGGCCTATGAATTCCTCCCATTTTTTTCCTTGTATCCTTTCCATCACTTTTTTAGAAAGCTATGATTCCCCCTTCCCAAGCTCCCAGCTCCCATCCAAACCAGAGGAGCTCCTCCATAGGCCCAGACGTACTCGTTGACGAGTTTGTCACAGATCTCGCTTGGCAAGAAGATGTCAGGATGGAGCCGGAGAGTTTCATTGTCCAGTAAGTAGCACAGAGTCCCCTCCAAGTTGCGAAGGCAGAAATCTGTGCACAAGGTCATGAGTGACTCCGGGCTGTCGGATGCCATCTTCAGGGAAGCAGTGGGGAGGGGAAAACAGAAGGAAGCTTTTGATTCAGAAGATCCTTTCCTCAAATGAAATTCCAGGATGAATTTACAGGGACATCAGGGCAGCTATAAGTGGAGGAGAAAAAAGGATTCGTTAAGAAAGGCACATTGGAAAGCATGCTGCACAGCTATTGTACCAGCAGGATGTCAATAGTTCCAGTTACAGCCTGCCACTTGCTGACCTCTGAAGAACCTGCAGTGGTTTGTCCCTCTGGGGCTGTGCACTAAATTCCCTCACTGGGGGAATGAGTTAATGTGAAACATTTTCTTGCTGTATAGCCTCATTTCCTAACATGTTTCCTCAGTGCAGAAGTTATCTGGCTGACAAAGGGCTTCTGAAGGGGAAGTGGTGGAAACCACATTGCTTGGTTTCCTTCAGAGTGGGTTGAACAAACCACCAGAGAAGGTACAGCTGGGAAGATCCTTTTGCATAGCCCCAGTGGGATCTGGTGACCCCAAACCTTGTGTCTGTAATTGTTTGCTGCCATTTCAAGTGAAGTTTAATGTTCAAGCTGGATGTTTCTCTGCAGCTCCAAGCCAGAAGCTCCATGCAAGTGTTTGAACTAGACCATGAAGTGGATCAGAAACCAGAGGGGATGCTGGACACTGTGCAGGCAGCTGAACTCACTAAAACATTCCAAATTCTGTCATAAAAAGTATGAGTGACCAACATGGAAAAAAGCAAGGGGCTTCTGCCCTCCTTGGTTTTTACTACCAAACAAATGAGGATAGTGAGGCAGATAGTTAGGGGAAGCTAGTCCTGTTTGTTTCCTTATTTCAAAAATCTCATAGCTCTGGCTTTCAGGCTTGCTCACTGGCACTGAAGCAGAACTAGCTGAGTGCACTGAGGGTGTTTAGGAGAAATGACTGAAAACCATTTCACTTTTACAGGGCCAAATCAGATTAGAAGCAACCTTAATGTGAACCCTTCAACATATTTCCACAAGCACACACAAATTGCATTGAAATGTTTATTTGTGAGATGAAATCTGTGTCTTTTCAATAGGTAAGTTCCTGCTGTACTGAGGACATCGGTGCTATGGAGTCAGTTATTCTTCTGTGCAGCATAGCTGGGGAAACTATTGCAAAATGTCTGTTAATTCTCTTGCAGCTGCAAAGATCAAGGTGTTTGTCTTTAGAAAGCCAGAGATGCTCTCCTTTCTTTCCTGCACTCTCAGCATTTAACTCAGTTTCCTTGCCTCAAGCACTAACCCCAAGGGCACTCCTGGTGACTCAGGCACCCTCCCTCCCCTTCCAGATGTTCCGTTCGGCCGCCGTCCGGGTTGTGCCACCAGGATGAAGGATCAGCCAAAGCTGAGGATGAGGTAACCTTTCAGATGCAGGCACCACATGGTCTCTGCGGGAAACAGGACACAGTTGTGACTGAGCCTGCCTGGCAGCCCGTGCTCCCAGCCTTCTGGTGCCTCCTTATGCTGCACGAGTTGTGAATCGAAGCTCTTTTCTTCCTTTCGTGTCTCATTAATTCTTTATTTAAGAGCATGCTTTAGTGCCAGGGACAAAGACTCGACCAAGGAATAAACCCGAGACAGAAAGGAGCCTCTCAAGAAGCAAATGGGATGAGCAGAGCTACTTCTTGCGTAGCAGGAGGAACTGCAGTGCTGCATCATTCCTGGGGTACACCAACCCCAGCCCGTGTCTCCCTGGGCCAAATCTTGCTCCAGTGTAAGCGGACAAACCCAGGACAGAACCTGGTTTCACTTGGATCAGTAATTTCTCCTTCCCATAACACTTCTGGGAACTGTACCTGTAAATAACTGTAAGAATCATGTTTAAATCCCAAATTCCTGACCTGCTGTGTTCTGACCTAGAACTTTCACAGCCTTTTCAGTGTGATCTCAGGCAGGTCCTCTGGTTTTGGCTCAAGAAGGAAAAGGTCTCCAAGCAACAGCAGAGGAGAAAATGAATAAAAACTCAGCAATCACAAAAATGTACTTAATGTGCTGATCCAAAAAAGTCTAAAAGGTAACCTCCCTGCATTGCTGAGCCTGGATCTAACAGCACTACTACGACTTCTTACGGGTGCTGTGGTAATGTGGAGACTTTTGAGATGTGCATGGTACAAACAATGAAAATGTGTAAGCTTTGTTCTAAAAGAGAAACAAATCCATAATCAACAGCTCCCTCCTCTATAGTTGGCAGAAGAGAAATCCAAGGAATACATGGGCAACTGAGAGCAGAGCACTGCCTTGCTAGCAGTGAGATCCTGCCTAAGAGGATGCATGTGGGAGGAAGCTTGTCCTGCACTCTGCATGGCGTCTGCTTCAGAGATGCAAGTGCTTCACCTCCAGAATGTATTTTGCCTGAAGCTTCCTTGAGAGAATCTTTCCAGAAAGGCCAGATCAACAGGAAGATCTGAGCCAGGAGGGAAACACGTTCTGCTATCCCTACCAGTCCACCCATGCCATCAGACAGCAGGACTGGAGCCAGCCTTCTACCATTTTTTACTGCTTCTGGACAGAGAACTAAACCAAATTCTAAATTCTCAGTAACAATTTATTATTACGTGCTGCTGACAGGACCAGTGCTTGGGATTTGTCCAAGCAGCTTAGAGAGGGCAAGGACTGGCGTCCTGCTGCTCTAACAACCCTCCCTTGCAAGCAGCACGATGTTGATCCCAGCCCTGGAGAAATCAGCTGCACTTCAAATTCTGAGCTCCCAGCACTCTACCAACAAAATCCGACATTGGAATGTAGTCCACAGAGAAAAACATTCATCCTCGTGATTTATTGTGCACATCTGAGAAGCACCCAAGCTGCAGCTGTGACCGTGGTCCTTTTGTACAGGTTGCTCCCTTCCTCTTCTAACCAGCCTCGAGACACGATGTGGGCAGGGAAGTAATGAAGTCAACAGCTGCACTGATCAATATCGTCCCTAGCTATAAGCTCTGTGTGCTTTGTTGATAAAAATAAACAAGATAGAGATGCTGACAAATCATTAGCATTTGCCTAATCACTATCCTCGGGCAGCTTTCTGCAGGCAGTACATCAGCAAGCTGCTTGCCCTGCAGCCTGTCACCATGCTTCCCAGTGACGGGCAATAAGCTACCTACTGCACACGTGTTTCTGTATGGCCAAGTAAAAGATGCAAAAAAAGTTCAAGTGCGGGAATCAAAAAGTTAGAAATGCAGCTGCATCTTCTTTCCAGTTCATTTTTCTGTGTGGTTTTGCTTTCATTTTAGCACACAGAGGAACGGAGCACCTCGAAGCAGGCATACAAAACCCCATGTACCCTCCTGCAGCCTTCTGTGGAGTAACAGCACCCTCCCAGCACCCAAAGGAAACTGCAGCGCTGAGACACGCAGCTTCACTCCCCCATCAGCAGCCTCGCAGATCCAGGCAACTTCTTTGGCAACTGCTGCTTCTTTGCAGGCTACGTTTGCAGCGTTAGGGCACTTCTGGCAGCGCTGGCACACGAGGATTGGCGCTGCTCTGGGGCTGCCCGTGCCAATCTCTACCTTGAACTTCAGACCATCTTCTCTCTCGGTCTCTCTCCAAGCCTGACTCACTGTGGCTTCGTGCCAGCGGCACAACGCTCATGTTGCCACAAACGCGATTGGCAAAGCTTCCAGCACCAGCGATTGGTCCAAGGAGAGGACAAACGACGCGTGTGGATGTGACCCGACCGCAAGGAACGGCTTTAAAAGAACCAATTTAACGCAAACGCAGAATGTGGCACGGGTCACGTCCTGATGGAAAACCGCACTGTCACTCAGCTGGCCTCTCACGCCGCGATCCGCCGCGCTTCGGTTCATTAATGGCTCATCGCAACCGGTGCGGGAATCGCCACGGGTGCAAGAAATGTCACCGCTGCCTTCCGGCACGGAAACCGAACACGGAGCGGAGCTGTTCGCAGCAGCCGAGCGAACGTTCCCCGTCCACGTTCGATCCCCCGGGGCCGCAGAGGAGGTGCGCGGCCCCACGGCCCCCGGCCGGCCGCAGTCCCGAGCGCAGCCCCGCGGGCCCCGGCCGCTCCCGGGGCGCCCAGAGGTCACCGCGCCGTCCCCGCGGTCCCGCCGGGGCTCGGGCCGGCAGCGGCGGTTCCTCGGAGGGGCGGCGCCGCCCCCAGCCGCCCGGAGCCCGGCCGAGGGAGCGGACCGGTGGCACTCACCTGGGCCCAGGCCCCGCCCAGCGCGGCGGATGGGGCCGGCGGTGGTCCCGGGCTCTCCCCGGCTCCGCGTCCTCCTCGGGCCCCGCTCCCCCCGCTTCGGCCTCCGCTGTCAACAAACCCCTCCGTCACTTCCGCCAGCCGGGGCCGCCGCACCGGATACCCGCCGTGTTCCCCCTAGGAAACACCGACCGGGCCGGAACGCTCCGACCGCCCCGCGACACCGGGGAGCTCCGGGAGCGGCGGCGGCTCCGCGCCGCGTTCCTCTCTGCGGGCCGGGCACCGGGACACCACGAGGTGCGACGGCGCCGTGCTCTACCCGCACCCCGTGACGTCGGCACCGCCTCACGCCGCCCCGGGAGATGCAAAGTGGGCGGAGCCTGCGGAGGTGGGCGGGGCGAGAGGCGGGGGGCGGGGCTTCGCACCCCCAGCGGGCGCGGCGTTTCCAGCCGGAGCGGTTGCGCGGCGCGCGGGGTCGGGCAGCCATGTCGCGGCTGCACCGGAGCAGGTGGGTGCGGGGCCATGGCCAGGTGGGCGCGGGGCCGGGTGGGTGCGGAGCGGGAGCAGAGCGGAGCGCTGCCCGCCTGCTCGCTAACGGCCGCCGCTTCCCCGCAGGATCGCGGATTTCCAAGAGGTGCTCGGCGAACCCACGGTGGCTCTGGGCAAGCTTCGCGATCTCTGCTTCAGTGGTGAGTGGGACGGGGGGGTCCGGCGCGGCGCTCCGTGTGACCGCGGCCGCCCCTCCCGCTCCGATCCCCGAACTTCGGCGCGGCGGCCCCGCCGGGGCTGAGCCGTACCGGCAATGACGGCCGCGTCTCTGCTGTCCCGCAGGAATCCCGTTCGACGGAGGGCTGCGCTGCCTCTGCTGGAAGGTGCGTCTAGCGCTGCGTGCTGCCGCTCCGGCGGTGCTTTGGGGCGCATAACGGCTGAAAAAAAAACCCAACAAAATAACGGTGCAGAACTTGGCAGCCGCTCCGAATCCGTGTCAGTTCGTGCAGTTCGTCGCTGCCGGGCTGCCCGGAGGTGGCCGTGTGTGCGCCGGCTCGGCGCTGCGTTGGGCTCCGGGCGCCGCGATGTGCCCGGCCGGCAAAGTGCTGAGCGATGTGCGGAGCGCCGCTGCCCCGCGTTGGCTCGGCTCGGCTCGGCTCGGCTCGGCTCGGCCCGCAGGTTGGCACCGCGCTCCTCAGATCCTAATGTGTGTTTGTGTCCTGCGCAGATCCTGCTGAACTACCTCCCCTTAGAGAGGGCCCTATGGAGCTCTTTGCTGAAGAAGCAGAGGTGAGGACGGCTCTGCTTGCTCTTTTCGTTCTAATGGGATTCTGTGGAGGAGGGGAGCGGTGGCTTCAATAATTAAGTACCTCTGTAAAAGGAATTGCTCTCGTGTGCTGTTCTTGGGGTCTGTGGATTTGAACTCAACAGAAAATGAGATGTAGGCTGAGTGGAGCGGTGCAGGGGTGTCTGTGTGAGCTCAGGCGGAGCGCTTACATTGATGTTATCTGCTTCGTTTCCCTCTTTAAGGGAGCTGTATTCCCAGTTCCTAAAAGAAATGATTATTCAGCCTGGGATCGCCAAAGCCAACCTTGGTGTCTCAAGGGAAGATGTGACCTTAGAGGATCATGTAAGTGCTGCTAACCTTTGCTTTGCAGGACATTCCCTGTAGCTCTGAACCGTGGTTCTGTAGCCTGCATTCCTGTGCTGCTCTTGGCCCTGTGCTGGCAGGGGGGACAGTTCCTGGGTGCCAGCCTTGTGCATGTGTCTGAGCAGCCTTTAGCTGCTGAGTTACTGGCAAAGCAATGGTAGCTGGGGATGGAGCTGTGTGCAGCTGCATGTGTGTCTTCCCTCCTGCTTTGGGGCTGTGCAGCCTGTGGGTCTGCTGGGGAAGAACAGAGGGTTGTGAGAGGTCCCTTCAGCAAGGAGACGCTCTCCAGGGATGCTGTATCTGTGGGTGGGCTGGGAACAGGCTGCTCTGAAAGGCAGGAGGGTGCAGCTGGACCACAGCAGAAGGCTGATTTATCTTCAGTTAGTTGATGAATGACTTCTTTAATTATTATTTATTGACTGTTTTTTGCATCGCTTTCTGCTTTGAAAACACTGCGAAGTTTGTGTCAAGGCAGGGGATGATATAACTGAAGATAAGGACCATAAATGCTACAGCTGCTTCCAGGGCTTGTCCTGAACGTTGGTGTTCTGCTGGTGTGTGGTCATCTGTGCTGCTGTGATCCACCAGGGCTGTAAAACTATAATGTCTGTAACATTCTGTGCGTTGGCAGCTTACAGTGAGCTTTGGATCTCTTGGAATGTTCCTTTTATGGTGTTTTCTCCTGTCAGATGATTATTAACTTGTGCAGATCTTGATCTGGAGAAAAGAAAAGCGTGGGAGAGGGGGAGCCAACTTTGTCATAATGGAAAACTGGTCAGATAGGGGACAGGTTGTTTGCATTATTAATGCATTTCCTTTTTGCTGGGTGTGCTGGATGTGCTTAATCAGCCTTCTCAGAGCTGAGATACCCCACGGTACTCATGTGTTGCCTTAACTCTTGGGCTGGGTGCAAAGACCACCTTTGTACAGGTGGGAACTGCAATAGAGAATCCTTAGGACAGGATGCTTGATTTGGGAACTAAGTCTCGAAGAAGGATATGAAAAGGGATTGGAAATGTTGGTTTCTAACTTCAGTGAATCTACACAGTCACTTATTTTGCAAGTTCTGATCTGCTTCCTACTACACTGTGTGCTGTCTGAAGAAACAGCACTAAGCACAGTGCCAGAAGGATTGGGCCCTGGGCTGGGCTGACAGCAGGAACGGTTCATCAGTGTGCATTTACTGGGGGCTGTGGTGCACGTGAAGGATGCTTGGTTTTGTCTTATTTCTCCAGCCCCTCAATCCAAACCCAGACAGCCGGTGGAATACTTACTTCAAGGATAACGAGGTGCTCCTCCAGATAGACAAAGATGTCAGGTGTGTATGGTGTAGTGACTCAGGTTTGTGAGCCTGAGTGCTTTGCTTAATACTTTGTACTTTGAAAATCGAGTTTAATATTCAACTGAGCTTTCTGTTTAGCACTGGGCACCTGCTTCCTTCTTATGCTTGATTTCCTCCTGCATCCACCCTAGGAGGCTGTACCCTGACATGGCATTTTTCCAGCGCCCGACTGACTACCCCTGCCTTTTAATCCTGGACCCCCAAAATGAATTTGAGACGCTGCGTAAGCGGGTGGAGCAAACCACACTGAAGTCACAGACGGTGGCACGGAACCGCAGCGGGGTTACAAATGTGAGGTCTGGGTGTGGGCTGCCCCTGGGGCATGGCACGGTCCCTGATGGGGCTGCTGGTGGTTCTTGGGCTTTTTGTGTTTGTGTGGTGGAATTATGTGAATGCAGAAGCAGATACTGTGTATTTGGTGTCTAGACAGCTTTAGAGAACCAGCTGGCATGCCTAAGAGTTGGCAGGAGTCATAGGTATGTTTAATGGTAAGGGTTATTTTCTCCTGAGTTCCAGGAAGATGTGCTATGCCCGAAATGTCCCTTCCTGCATGGGAACAAAGCACTGAAGGGTTAATTTACTGAAGCTGAATTGATAGAGTCTTCCAGAGCTGGGTCTCCTCAAACTGTAATTGGGAAAGGAGCTGGGGAAGAGCTGAAACGTGTGATGTCTTTTGCCTCTTTGGGTGTTAGATGATAAGTGCTGTGCACTGGGTGCTGGGGAAGGTGGCTGGCTGCAGTCTGTCCCCTTTTCCTGCATTACAAAGAAGTGGCCCTGCTGTGTTTCCTTACTGCCTGGGATCAGGTGATGCAGTGGTTCAGGGGAACTGTCTGTGGCAGCACAGACTGCTTTGTTCATCAGCTCTAGTCTTGCCTTGCCCTTCAGGTGAGCTCCCCTCTTAAATCGTCTCCTAACTCTCTGGGTGAATACGAAGTTCTGCCCAATGGCTGCGAAGCTCACTGGGAAGTGGTGGAGCGAATCCTTTTCATCTATGCCAAGCTGAACCCCGGGATAGCCTACGTTCAGGGGATGAATGAAATAGTGGGGCCCCTTTACTACACCTTTGCTACAGATCCTAACAGCGAGTGGAAAGGTGAGAGGCTCTTTCGGATGCTGGGTAGGGGCTGTTGTGCTGCATGCTCTGTGTGAAGCAGTGTTTCAGGATGGAGACTCTAAGCAATTCAGTTTCGACTGATCAGGAAATAAACAAACAAACCCCCAAAGCCAACAAATGCAAAAAGGGTTGTGCATTTCTGGGAGCACAGTAGACTGACAGAGACTGAATGGGCTGTGAGTGCTGAGGGCATCAGAAGTGGAGATTTGGGGGATTTTTTGTTTTGTATGAATCGAAGTTCTCTTCCTGATTGAAACCTGATATCCCCATACAAGTCCTTTATTGCTTCTTGTGCTAAAAATACGTCTGTGTGGGTTACAGTGGGGTTATTTTCTTTGCTCTGTTGCTTTGTTTGTTTCTATTTTGTGTGTGTGTTTGGTTTTTAAATAACAAGGACAACTGAAGGGGTGGGGCAAGAAGAAGAATGGACTGGGGGAGTTCTGCATTGCTCCCACTTCAAAGTTTTGGGGCTGTGTGCTCATGGCAGCAAGACTGGGTGATCTTCTGGGCCACAGATAACTGTCACAAAGTGTCACAACGACCTCAGTGTGCACACAGGGCCTGCACTGCAGCTGCTCTGCACACAGCCAAAGTCTTGTGAGATGCACTACAGCAATGAGGTTATCAGCCCAGAGCAGCTTTGTGCCTCTGACAGCAATGCTTTCTCTGTGCTTCCATTCACTTCCTCCTTTAATTCCCCAGAACACGCTGAAGCTGACACGTTTTTCTGCTTTACCAACCTAATGGCTGAAATTCGGGACAACTTCATTAAGAGCTTGGATGATTCTCAGTGTGGTATAACCTACAAAATGGAGAAGGTCTATTCCACCCTGAAGGAAAAGGATGTGGAGCTGTATTTGAAGCTGGTGAGGAGCTGGGTGTTCCTCTTAGTCGTGGTTGGAATGTGGGGGAGGGAGGATTCAAATGTCAGCCAACTTTGTTCAGCTGTTCCTGGACTTGAATAGAGAGGTTGAGGAGCTGTGGGAAGGCCTTTAGCAGCAGGACATAGGGGCTGTCTTATCTGTAAGCTGAAACAAGCTCTCCTTGGAGTAAGGCTGGAGTGAGCTGATCAGCAAAGCTTTCCTCCCGTGTGAGTGCAAACTGTAGCTGTTGTGAGGCTGCCAGCTGTGACTTGGCCACCAGCCCTGGTCACCTGGATTCAAGCTGGAGATGGAAACACAAGCTTTGCTGTAAAGTTCCTTTGAATTTGTCATCAAAAACATCAACAAATCACCCTGCAGAAGCAAGCAGAAAAGCTGCAAAAATCCTGCTCACGTAATTCTATCATTTTCCTTCCATTGGGGATCTCAGGGTGCTGTGGATTGCTGTGGATTTTGTAGAATATCAGGCAGCAAACCCCTGTAGGTCTTGTAGTCTGCTTGATGTGGAAGTCCAAGGTGAATCTGGAAGGGGAAGCTGTCCTTGTTACTGCAGCCTTCACCAGATTGTTTGGAGGTGTTTTGCATTTAGAAAAGGCGAAATATGTTCAGTAATCCAAAAGGTGATCTGTCAGCACAGTGACACAACCCACAGCGTTGGCTGAAGGCTGATTTAAGGGGGGAGAAAATAAATGACTTACTGTTTGGCTGGCAGGAAATGGCCTTGGCCATGCAGCAACCAATCTTCAGGAATGTCATCAGGATCCTGAGCTTTTTTTGACCGTGCTTAAAGTTTCAGTCTCTTGGATTTGATAGTTTTAAAAAAAAAGAAAAAGAAAGGTACAATGCTTGCAGTGTCTTACTGACTGTCAGTGTGAACTCTGTCCCATCTTTTGTTTCTTTCTGTGGACGGTAAAGCTTTGATAAATTCTGGAAAGGAGAGGAAATCCTGCAAAAACAGCGCCTTTGCTGGAGGGGGAGGGCTGCAGCTTTGCAGATAAAGTGGTGTTCAGATGGGAAGTTAAAATTACTCTGCAAGTTTAACTGAAATAACACACAGTGCCTTTAGGAAGAAAAGCTTCCTTTACTCCTGTCTTAGAGGAGTGTTTTCTGTCTTTGTAGATGTGGAACGTGGTTGATTTGAAGATCTTTCTCAATCACAAAAATGTGAAAGCTCTCATAGGAGGAGGTGGATTTGCTGATGTTCCAGCATGGCTTGGCAGCATAGAGCTGTTTCAGGGTGGAAATGGGGAGGGAATCGAGGGCTGCATCTCTTATGTGGGTATTCATTTTTTGTCTGGTGCATGTCTGACAGCAAGAGCAGAACATCAAACCCCAGTTCTTTGCCTTTCGCTGGCTGACGCTGCTCTTGTCCCAAGAGTTCCTGCTGCCAGATGTCATCCGTATCTGGGACTCCCTCTTTGCTGACGATAAGCGCTTTGATTTTCTGCTCCTCGTGTGTTGTGCCATGTTGACGTAAGTATGGCAATGGCCACTGTGCTCTTTTCTTCCCTCCTTTAATGAGACCCATAGGTCTAGGAACCTTCTATGGGTGTGTGTTATTGCATCTGACGAATAGGTCACAGTCATTTGTCACAGTGGTAAGTGGAAGTGTTCTCAGAAGGCTCTGTAAGGCACGTCGTAGTCCATTTTTTGAAGTTCCTCTGTAAAGAGTCAAAAGTAACTGGAGTAATTGCCATCTTTCAGACTAATCCGGGATCAGCTGCTGGAAGGAGACTTCACTCTCAACATGAGGCTGCTACAGGTAAGGATTAAATATTGCAGGCATGGGTTGCAGTGTAAAGAATCTTGAGATTGTACTGTGAGAGGGGACTGCGGTATGGGCATGTCTTGCTGAGGTGAGGTACCAGGTTTCTGATGGCTGTGTGACGTCAGAAAATCTTAATGTTGGTCATGCAGCATGCTCATTACTGGGAGTATAAACCTTTGCATGCTGTGATCCCCACCACTGCAGGGAAACTGAGCTCACTTGAGATGAACAGCTGCTTTAACTTCCTTGGTGGTGGTGTCTCTGCTCCCTGTGCCATTAACTGGGCTTTCATTTTCACATGCACAATGTGACTGCATGCTCTCTGTTCCATCTTCCTAGCACTGTAGGGTTTCTTCTTCCTCCCCTTTCCAGGTGCTTCAATAGCAAGGGGCTCAGCGGTGTTCCTTTTGCAGTCTTCTGCTGGCAGGGCACAGTGCTGCTGTCTGGAGCCCAGCACTACTATTGACACACAGCCTTTTGCTCATGCACCCTTCCAGGCTTACAGACATTGTTCTAAACTACTGGCTTATAACATTCCTTGGTTTGCAAAAAAAAAAAAGCATTTTCCATCAAAGCTTTGAAACACACAGTGTTAAACTTGTTGGGCAGAGGCTTTTGTTTAGCTCTGAGAACTATGGGAGCCCAAGGTTGGAAACACTGCACTGAACAGCAGGATATCTCTGACTCTGCCAGTTCCTGCTTCAGACTGTATGGGGTGCTGGCTTTGATAAGGCCCTCTGGCATGAAGATCTTGTGCAGTCAGCTGGCCTGCTACCATTGGAGGATAAGTGAATAGAAGCTTCTTGAAGGGCACTGGGGCTTGATCAGTTACAGAACAGGAAGCTGTTAAGGGAGTAACTGAACGTAACGGTGTTCTAATGCTAACAATGCTGTTGTCAAGGTTTGCCCTGTTTAGGTGGAGCGATGTCAAATGCTAAGTTGGCACTTACACTTCATTTCTTTACTGTAGGATTATCCTATATCTGATGTTCACCTGATTTTGAAGAAGGCCAAGGAACTTCAGGATTCCAAATAGTCCATGAGGCTGACTAAAGGTGTTGGAGAAACTGTAAGGCAGAGGATCTTAGGAGGTGGGCCTGTGCAGAGCATTAAAACTCCTAGGGATCTCTGCAGGACTTCAGGTTTTGCATTTGGGCTACTGGCCACCTTGAAGACTTCCTTCTCCTCTATTTATTAGGTCAAGAACTGATTACTTCCCTATCTGCTTGGGCCCTGCACTCCAGATTTTTCAACTCTCGAATGCCTCTGTGCTGCCAAAAGCAGTTCTTTGTATCTTTTTTTTTATGACTTTACGTGGAGAAAGAAACCATCTATCTGCATATCCCTCAAGGGGTGGATTCCTTCTGCATCATGAAAGTAGCTCACGTGGAGTTACTTCTGATGGGGAAGGGACAGTGTGGATCTGGTAGATTTTGGTGGGTGAGTATAGAAGGATCTTTCTCCTGTGAACAGAATGTATCCCAAGGAAGTCACACGTTCTGCCATTCAAGTAGCTTCTGGATTCTTCTCCCTCTCATCTGCACTTAGCTGTCCCTGAGGTGTGCAAAAAAAGAAGGTTGTGTCAGCTTCTGGTGCGTGTCATCTGACATCCAGCAGTTTGGACCCCTTCTCATGACAAAGACCTTGAGAACCATGATGGGAAGACGTGATAACAGCTGGCACCTTTGTGCACTGAAACTGCCTGCATCGCCTTACCATACAGGTCTCCTTGAAAGAAGACTGTGGTGGTTTTCATCTGTGAGTGAAGTGTAGTTTGAAGCCTTATTACACTAAGCCTTAGAGCAGGAGTTCGTTGCTGCAGGGAGGCTGGGACCTCAGGCTGCTTTCCTGGCTCGAACTGGAGCATATCTAGCTGCAATCAGGATTCTGAAACACAAGAAATGAGCATCTAGTTGCATGAAGACAGCTCTACTTATGGACTTACACAGGCATAGCGCTGGGGTTTCCTGCCTCAGTGGCTTGCATAGGATATTACCCTGCAAAAGCTCTGGTCACGGTAACCTTGATATTGTCTAATAGCTCTTCTTGCCAGGAACAGACACATTATGGGTGTGACCTACAAGAAAAAGTCCTTTTATTGTGTAATCCAGTGGGCATACAAGCATTTCAGTCATTAGCTGACTCCTGGGGGTAATCCATGTTTCTGTGCACCAGTGCTACTGGATAACAGTTGTGAGTTGGACACTTGTCCCTCCTGAGGGGGAAACCGCTGCATTTCAGTACAGTGCTACAGGCTCAGGTGGGCACTGAGCAAGACAGACTGTGGGAAGAACTGTTAACCTGCAGTAGTGTCAAGCTGATCAGAAACCGTAAGCCTCAAAGAGAGAAACTGCCAGCACCCAGATGCTCGGGTTGTGCAGAAGCTCTTGAGTGAACACTAATCCACAATGCTTTATCTTTCTGTGCTGTGCTGGCTCATCTCTGTGTAGCTGTTCAGCACTGCAGTTTTCAGTATTTATGGGTATTGATTTGTTAAAGGTCAGTCATCTGCTTAAGCTGCTGATGGCCTCAGTGTCCCTAAGGAGAGGGGTGTTCTGTTGTCAGCCTTCATCTGTTCTACCTGTGTTACTTCCTTCAGGGAAGGCTGCCTCCTTGCAGGCCGCTGTCACTTTATAAGGCTGGAGAGGAGGATGGGTTGGTGCACGTTCCTCTCTTCCTGTTAGCAATCCCAAGCAAAGTCTGCCTCTATGGAAGGTGCTGGAGTGATGCTGGTACAGCCAGTGTCACTGCAGTGATGGAACATGAACAACTGAAAGCTTAAAACATCTAATTAGTTCCTGTGGCTAACAGCATCTCCCTCTGCTGCAATCCCTATAGGGTAGAGTTTTCCTCCAAGAAAAATGAAAGGGATGGACGAGGACAGCTGTGTGATGGAGCATGCTGCCTGCTCTAGCAACTGTGTGGATGTTCTGCCTCCTGTCACTGAGCAGTTCTGGCTGTTGGGTGCCTTGCACTGGAGGCTATTTGTCAGACCACACATGTGGAACCAGAGGGTCTGACCCTTAGCAGGGGTTATTTCCTCCAAAACACTTTTTCTTCCAAAGTAACGCTGTAGCTCTCATAGTTCCATGCACAGTCTCCTCATGCTGTCTCCCTGTAGAAGTGCTTCCTTTGTGTTTTCTCTCTACTAGGTGGGCATCAGTGGGGGAACAACCACAATTCTCCTTATAATGACCTGAGAAGGCAGTGGGTGAACGGGGATCAAAACAGTTTTGTTTTCAGGGTTCTGTGCAGGCCCTGTGCTTGGCCCTTGCAGGAGAACCCCAGCACATGGATGGATGCTCCTGCAGCAACAGCTGCCTCCTCCTTTCGATGTGTCACAGGGCTTATATTGTGTTGTTCTCTTTAGGGGTGGTGATGGGGAGCACTTATAAAAAGATTTTGCAGTGGGGTGAGAGCTTTGGCTGCTGGAAGGGTTTTGTGGGACACATTCTGCAGCTTTATCCAGGTAGGCCTGTGGCTGCTCAACTGGTTAATTGGAGTTCTCTGGGGAGAACTTATAACAACTTCGATGCAGCAAACGGCTTTGAAGGAGATGCTCTGCTTTGCAATGATGTTTGTTCTTCTGAGATTTATTTGTTTCTTTAAGAGCAAAGACAGATTTTCTGGAGGGGAGAAAAAGTCCTGTCACCAGCTTTTAAATCTTGTTAGTTTCTATGTCTTCATTCCTCAAAAGCTGTTGGTGACAATGATTTTACTTTTCTTTTTTTGAGCTCAGAAAGCATTAACTGGCTTGTGGTCATTCCTTGCTAATGTGGCCAAGCAGCTCCTGCTTCTTCACCCTGCAGACATTTCCAACTCTGATTTGCTCTGGGTTGCTGTCTTCCCCTTACTGTAGCCTGGACATCTGGAAGTTTGGCTTTTGTGAGAAGGTAGAAGGGAAAGGAGATGGAGTCCGTGATGATGGTCACACAGAGCGCTGATTCTGAGTTCTGTAACCCAACAGAGTTGCTCACCCTTTGGCAGTGAGTGGGATGAAGGCCAGAAGTTGGTTTGTGGATCCTGTGGGAAAGCAGAGGGTGTTTTCCCCCATGAGTGTCAGTGATTGCATTGCACCGCTTGGTGTGTTCTCCCTTTTCCAGAAGGTGAGGAGCACACTCAGCGGTACATCAGTATAACACTTTATTTTTGCTTTTGTTTTTACCTTGGCTGGAAAGAATTACCAGAACGGGGTCAAGAAAGAACACTTCATCACTCTAAAACTACTTTTATGCTTCTTTTTAAACACTATTTTTATAACGCTCCCTACAGCGCAGCAGGCAGCTGCATGCAGGCATCCCGCAGTGCCCGGCCGTGCTCGGGTTGAAGCACAGGGCACAGGGCTGTCACTGCGGCGCGTTCGGGGCCGAGCTGGGCCGGCTCCATCGCCCCGTGGCTGCAGCAGTCACGTTAACTTCTGCTCTTTCCTTTTGTACTTTATCCTGTTGAACCCCTTACGAGAGCCTCCGCGTCTCTCATTTAATGCTGTTCTCGAGTTGTCCAAATAAAATGGTTTCTTTGCACACTGCTTCGGGCTCTGCTTCTGTAGGCATGGCGGTGCGTGGAGCCCTTTAAGGGGCGATGCTGTGTGCCGGAAGAGCAGCTGTGCAGCAGGAAGCGGCTGTGCGCTCGGTGCCCGGGGCTCGCTGTGCTCCAGGCTGTGCTCAGAGCCATGCTGCTGGGCCGCTGGCTGCTGCCCGGGGCCTCCCTGGCTCTGGGCGCAGGGCTGGGCGCAGCTCTGACCGCCCGCTGGCAGCGCGGTGCTGGGGGCACGGAGGTGGCGGAAGGGCTGCTGGGCCGCCTGCCCGTGGTGCCGGTGGTGGCGGCGGCGGCCGCAGGACCTCCGGTCCCCACAGAGCCGGTGCGGACCGAGCTGACCAAGTACGGCCTGCCCGGGTTGGCGCAGCTGCGGAGCCGCGAGTCCTACGTGCTGTGCTACGACCCGCGGAGCCGCAGCGCGCTCTGGGTCGTTGAGCAGCTCAACCGGGAGACGCTGAGCGGAAGCTCTGACCGCACCGCCTGCGACTTCCAGGAGGACGATTCGGTGCACGAATATCACCGAGCCACCAACGCCGACTACAGAGGCAGCGGCTTTGACCGCGGCCACCTGGCTGCTGCCGCCAACCACAAGTGGAGCCAGAAGGCCATGCGGGACACCTTCTACCTCAGCAACGTGGCTCCCCAGGTGTGCTTTGCAACACGCGTTGCTCACAACGCTTGTGTGGCACTTATGGGTTCTGTGCCCACGTGTGCCAGAGTGGGGGTGAGCTCTGCTCACAGCGCCCTGAGCGCTCCGGGAATGTTACGGATGTGTTGGAATGGGAACTCTGAGCAATAAGGAAGTGCTGTGTTGACTTTGCTGTCTTTGTGTTTTTAGGTGCCTCACTTAAACCAAAACGCCTGGAATAACCTTGAGAAATACAGCAGAAGCTTGGCAAGGAACAACAAGAACGTCTATGTCTGCACGGGACCTCTTTACCTGCCCAGGTAAACACGAGGAGCCAGGTGGGATCGCAGTGAGGATGTGTTGTGCTGGGAAGGTAAAACAACCTTCCAGCAACCCAGACCCCAGGTGAGACCTGGTGAGACCCCCAGGTGGGACCAGCAGCCTGCAGGCTTTCTGCAGAAGGGTGTTTTCTTAGCATTGGGATTATTTTCTATGTTTCTTATTCAGTCAATTATTTGGGGAGTGCCAAGGGTGGGTTTACTGAGATGCAAACTAACCCAGTCACTTTGGTTTGCACTTTTTAGTCATGAGCAGTATTGGATTAGTAGAGTATTAAATTAACAGATTAAACTGCACACCTCCTCCCTGTGGAATAGAACTCCTAGATTTCATTTCATGGACTGTTTGTCCACTTAGAGCATGATGTTATCTGCAGTGACATTTATGTAGGAGCGTGAAGAGCGGTTTGACAAGCTGAGTTCTCTGAACAGCCTTTTCTTACCTCTTAATGTAAGAGAGATGGTGAGGAAGGGGTCTGGGAGGAGTAGACCCCATGTAAGCTCACCTTCCCCATATCCCCCAGCCTCAGCTACAGCAGTATTTGTTACATCTGCCCTACAGAAATAGGGCTGCTCTGTGTCACTTCGTGGTGGGGGCTTGCACAGGGATGGAGGGGACGAGCTGAGGGGGGGTGGAAGGTGGCACCAGTGTAGGAGGTAACGTTGGATGTTGCTCTTGGTGCAGGATGGAGGCTGATGGGAAGATGTATGTCAAGTACCAGGTGATTGGGAAGAACCACGTGGCCGTCCCCACCCATTTCTTCAAGGTGCTCATCCTGGAAAAGGAGAGTGGAGAAATTGAATTGCGCTCCTATGTGATGCCCAACAGCCCTGTGGATGAGAAAATCCCACTTGAACGGTTCCTGGTTCCCATTGAGAGCATTGAGCGAGCTTCGGGGCTCCTGTTTGTCCCAAACATCTTGAAGAGAACAAGCAGTTTGAAAGCCATCACAGCTGGAAACAAGCGTTGAACTCTGACCAACCAAATCCAGGTAGCAGTGGCAGTCCACAGAATATTTCCCTGTGCATTTTCAAGTGTGACAAATAAGAGAGCAGTGTTTCTCTCAACCCCTTCCCCAGTTTCATGTAACGGTGAAACACACAGTGAAGCGTGTCCCAAGGACAGGCTGTACGGAAGGCTTCAGAGTTCTTGTCAGGTCCTTGTGCTCTGCACTTTGCCCCTAGGCTGCAGTACTGTGGGTGTTACTGTAATTGATCCCTTTGTGTGTGGCTCATTATGACACAAAGGGACGTTAATTTTTGTACTTAGGGGGGAGATCGGAGCAACACAGGTGCAGTGAGAGGAAAGAAAGGTTCGTGCATTTCTGCTTATAATTTTCATAAAATGGTTTTAGCAGTAAAGCTTTGAAAACACAAAGGATTGATCGTTTTCTTATCTGCTCTCACCAAAGTCTGAACGTCCTTCCCCCTTCCTGCTGAGATAAAGGTAGCAGCTCCAGCCCTTCCTGCCCTTGGGAAGGATGAAGCCTTTGAGTTGAGGGGGAGCTGGAGTCAGACTGTGTGACAGGAACACGCGCTTGACACAAGGATTAAATTACTACTTTTGAACCTCGAGGGCCACACTGCTGCAGGAGCACTCAGAATGCAAGCTACCTGGATGCTGACTGGTCACCTTCAACACAAAACGCTCACACGTGGACTTTCGATGAAGTGGAGGTTTGGTACTGTTTTATTCTCTACCCAAGACATCTGAATTGCTGACAGTCAGTTTGCTGACCAGCTTTTGGCTGGATGTTGCAGCAGAATGGTCCAGAGATGCTGGAGACTTGGTTGAGCAGCGGTGCTGGCTTTACTTACTTTGTATCTTCAGCTTCCCAAAGGCTGGCCCTGCTGGGTTCCTGGAGTGATTCTCTGTGTTTGAATAGCAACAGGCTACTCCCAGAGGCAGTCCGAAGTGGAGGACAGGGTCAGTGGTTTTCTTTTTCTGAGCTGTCAGTGGGAGTCTTCACAGCCTCATCAATGTGAGGTCTCAGTGCCGACAGAGAGATCAGCAATGCTTCCTGGAACAGACCAGAGAGCAGTCAGAACTGCCGCCCTCAATTGCCTGCTGGGCAAGCCAATGGCTCTTGGCTGAGGCACTGCTGTGGGGAACAACACTGTGGTTGGCTGTGTGTCCCTTCCAGGGACAGAAACGTTCTGTGCACACAGGCACTGCACCTCCAGTGCCGTCAGCCCCCTGCCTTACCTCTGTTCGGATGGTTCGGCTGCCTTGGCTGGGACAGGTGTTCAGGTAGAAGTCAAACAAGATGCTCGGGTCAGTGACCTCCAGGTTTGGGTCTGCATCGACCCCAGCTTCCAAGCCCTGAAGACCTCCAAATACGACAAGAATGTGCCTATGGGAGAGCACAGGGACAGAGTGAGAGGGGAGAATGGCTCTTACCCTCACGCCAGTGCAGATGTTTCAAGATTTACATAGGGGAGCATCTCGTGTGCCTTGAACCTTAAAGCAGATTAAGAATTGGCTTTGTATAAACACTTCTTTTTCACTTGGATACAGACCTAAAGGAGGGGAGGGTGACCTGGTCCACGGAGTTACCCCGCTCTGAGGTCCCAATAGAGAGATCGTAGCCTTCCTTGAATGGGCATTCTGAAAAGACAGCACCTGGCAAACACAAAATGTGGTTATCATAGTGGTGCTCTCACCCATGCTGCCTTCTGAGCAGCTCAGACACTTCACAGGTGAGTGGTAGCAGCAGAAATGATTGCTTTCCAGTGCCACTATGCACCTTCTAAATGAAGAATGAGCCCTTTCCCTGCTTAATTCCCTTGCTGCAGGAGTCTCCTGGCACTCAACTGCAGCACCTCAAAGCTCAGCAGGTACCAAGAGCCATTCCTTGATGAATGGCTTATGATTTCCCTTCTATCAGAGGACATCGGAAAAGGATTTTGCAGGGCTCTTGAGCTCTGATGTCACTGTAGGCGTTGATGTGGACAAGTGGGAGGTAGCACAGAAATGGAGATGGAGGTAACCAGCTCTTGTCTGCGTTGCCACAACGCGGATGTTTAGAGCTGTGGTAATGTGGAGGTAGAGGGCAGAGTACTGGAGGATGAATGGGGAAACTCACGCTTGTAGTTTTAGCCCTCAGATTTGAGCTACATGAGACAGAACAAGAACTTTAAGCAGCAGAAGTGTACCCAGCAGGCCTGAGATTGGTGTGGAAGCCCAGGTGGGATTAAGATCCTTCTGCACAGTAAAAAACAAAGAAACCCTCTGGGCACTTACTGAGGCAGGAGGCAAGGCGGACGCTGTAACCCCAGTACAAACCAGACACCGTGCGAGGGTGCTGTGAGGACACCACAGTGCCCTTCCGTACTTTAGTTTCTGAAAGGGAAGCAAAGAGATGAACAGCCCCAATAATCACCTGATAAGAGCTGAATTTCACTAGCCACATCCTGAGGTTTCTCCTGTGTTAAGGCACCGTTCTGTTGCACAGCTAAGAGCCACTCTTTTGGTGCCTTCTGGAAAGTGAGCATGCTTGGACTACTTATTGTTGATCAAAGGGCTGACATTTCTTCCCAATAAACTAGGAGCTATGGGGAGGGTGTTACTAAATTGTACATGTAGTAAAAAGAACACAGTGGAGTGTCCTCAAACATTAATGATCTGAAGGCTGTTACACAGAAGGACCAACTGCAGCAGGAGTCGAGTTCACAGTCGCTAATGGAGCAGTAATCACCTGGATTCTGAGGTTCCTGCAGGCGCACGGTGACGCGCAGACCGGGCTTCAGCTGTTTGTCAATCTGTACCTCCTGCAGAGACAGACACCAGCAGTGTTAGGGCAGCCTGGAGGTACTGAGGAAGGTTGGGAGGAGAAAGGGTGGGGACTGTTCTGGCCTAGAGCTGGAATGAGGAGCTCTGCAATCAGGGTCTGTGCTGAGCGAGTTCACAGCGGTTGGGTCATCAGCCTGAGACTTATTTTGCTGCTCAGAGGTTCAAACCCAGCACAAAGCAGTAACATGCTGGAATGGACCTGCCAGAACTTGGGAAGCCATGAACAACCCATAACAGCCATGAACAAGACAGCAACAGCATTAAATCCATCCCAGCCTGCTATGAAGCAGGATGCTCAAAAATCCAGCAATACTTGTAACCCACTGCGCCTGTTTCAAACATGACAGAGTGCCAGGGTAAGCTGTTTTGGGATCTGCAGGTTGCACGCTGCCATACCTTCTTCATCCCACAGTTGACAAACGAGCCTCTGCCTGGCTTACTTGGCCGGTCCAACACCACACCTTCTCGGTACTCTGAATCCTCATCCACCCGCATGTGGTGAGGGCTGTCCAGTGGGTTGAGGAGCCCTGGAACAGCACACAGAAAAGCAACAACTAAGGACAGAAGATGGACTATGGGAACATAAATGTAAGTACAGCTGTTCTGCTACTTCCTCCCTCTCTTCTCCAGTGGAGCACAGCATCTCACTTGTGCTATATGGTGGGGAAAAGACTTTAAGTTCTGTGCATTCCATGCTAAATGAGAGCCAGAGCTCACGGAGGGGGAATCAACAGCTTGAGACAGAGAGAATTCAATCATTACCTGCAAATTGCAGATCCCCATGTTTTGGAAAAAATGATTTCCTCAAGTACCTGTTATTAGAGAAGGTTCAAATATAAAAATTGTCAGTCCTAGCTTTGTACTAATTCCAAAGGAATCAAGAACAGAGAAAACCATGCCTAGCTCCCCTAAGTCCCTCCTGTTCTTTCAGTTAAACTGAACCACCCTTGAAGCAATTAGATCCTGTGTTCCTACAAATCATGCTACACACACAGAATTTAGCTCCTGCTCCCAAAGCCTTCAGCACAAGAGATGCATGCAAATCATCAGTTGCTATCATTTCAGTTCCACTGATAAGATGCACAATCTGACCACAGCGGACTTACTGAGGGCACTCCAAGTACTGCAGGATCCGAGCCAGCTGCACACAAGCCTTGCCTCTCTTCCCAATTCCTTCAAATTCCCCTTCCACGCTCCTGAAAGAGAGAGAGCAGTCTGACCTCAGTACAAGACTGCACAGCCCCAAAGGGTCTGGTCTCCAGAAGACTAAGCCCTTCTCTTAATGTAAGAATAGCAGCTCCCTCACCCTCTACAGAACTAAATGGGCCACCTTAGAAAAGGGCCGCTCCAGAAGTAGAGATATTAACAAGTTCTATTTGGAACTCTCCAAGTCAAAGATCTTATTTGGGTTTTTTTGTTGTTGTCATTTTTAACCTTTATGTATCTGTTTTGTTTGTTTGTTTTTTTAATACAACCTGGCAGTTGTATTCTACAGCATTGCAGTGCTTTCCAGTGAACACAGGCACAGGTTCAGATGAGAAGCGGAAGGAACAGGTGCCATTCCTTTAAAGCATCTCCATCATCCCTGCGTCCCAGCTTCCAGCACAGGTAAATGACCATCTTTGCCCAGACGGCCCTGTGATCCCCTGTGATCCTGGTGTCAGGAGCACTTGCTTGGGGTACAGACATTTCTTTCCCGATCTCAGCTTAAAAAAGACTGAAGGAACACAGACGAGAAGCTTCCTGCAGACCAAAACAGCTCATCCTTACTTAGCATCTTCTCCATGCTCGTCGAACACCACGATCTCATCCACGCAGAAGATGGCACACGCTCGAGCGATCTGCCCGGCCAGGTACGTCCGCAGCTCCAGCGACTGCGCGTTGTTCAGGATGGAGCCCGGCAGGGCCACGCTCAGCGTGTAGTGCCGCCCTGGGGGCAGAGGGCGGTCAGCAGGGTTCACACCGGCTGTGCGCGGCACCCACGGACCGTTTCCACCTCAGCCAGCCCAGCGCCTGCACCTTTGTCCTCCTGCTGTTGCTGCTGCTGTTCCTCCTCCTTTGCCTGTTTCTCTGCCACCTCCCGCACCCGCTGCTTTTCCAGCTTCTTCAGCAGGTTCAGCTCCTTCCATTTCTTCTTCTCTGCTTTCCCTGGCACGGACACGAAGCCCCTCCGCTTAACGGCCGGGCCGGGAGCGTTCAGGGCAGGCAGCACCGGACCCCGCCGAGCCCCCCCCTAGCTCCGCTCCCCTCCTCGACCGCGAGGGGCCCTCGGCCTTACTCTCCTGTTTCCAGCGCCGCCAGTTCACCTTCCTGTCCTCAACCTGCGGGCACAGCGGCCGTTACCCTCGCGTTCCCCTCGTGGAGCCGTAACCATAGCAACCGCCCCGCGCCCCACCTGCACGCCTTTGGGGCGCTTCGCCGCGCCGCCGTCCGCCATCTTCTCCCACGCGTTCCTTGGCCACGCCCCTCCGTGGCTGTGATTGGTCCGCGGGCGCCGATTCCCGCCTAAGATAGGCTGGAGCCGGTGTCACGTGAACCAATGGCTGGACAGACGACGGCGCATTGGCGGTGTTAAGTCCTCCGCGCGGCCTGGCGAGTTAAGCAGGGTGCGCAGCGTTGCGCTGGAGGGTGGGTGACCGCAGGACGCTGCTGAGCTGCATCCCAACGCTGAAGCCCTGCAGCGCTGCTGCCGTGGGACGTGGTGCAGATGTTACCCAGGGAACGGGTGGCAGCTCTCTGGGAGATCTGCGTCAGCCCCATAATTACAGACACATTTACTCATCAATTAATTCAACTTTAATAATTTAACAGTCACAAATATTTATCTCATGTTGCACATGACTCCAGTGCAATTTTTGATCACAACCTATGCTTTTATCCAGCTTGAAATGAAGAATGATGCAAGAACCACCTGCTGCAATGCTGCTCCTGTTGTCCCACCAGCCCTGGCTCTCCTTCCCTGCTGCATGCACCCGTCAAGAGGCTGCAATTCTACTTTGCAGCCCAGGGGATGCTGCCAGGCATCAACTACGTGCACTGTGTGGGTGCAAAGGGAAGGCTGGCTGTAGCAAAGCTCCATTTAATGACCTATTTCCTGAGGGCAGATGGTTACTGAACCTGTGTTCACCTTCCCAAAGTCGAAGGGAATATTGCTAATTTTTGGAAACATCAGCTCTCTGGGTTTACCGCTTTCAGGACTGTGTGAATCAGCTTGCTGAGGGAGCAGTGACCCCACACAGTCTCCTGAAGAAAGTGAGTGCTGCTGGGGATGCTGCCCTGCAGTGCACCCAGCGTAGCCCTGCAGGTAGGTCCTGAAATGCTTTTTCAGAATTTGGTGGTGGAAGAGATACCAAGAGCCATCCTTACTCTTGTGTTTTGCTGGACACATCTCAGAACTGATGAGCAAAGTCTTTAAGCGTGAAGGCAAAATGCCAAATGGCGGCAGTGCATATGGAGGCTCACTGCTTGCAACTGTTTCACAGTGAAATCTGTGTCCCCCAGACCTGGGCCTGGCAGACCTCATAGCCACTTGTCTGACAGAAAATGAGGTTGAAAGCACAAAAATCAGGATGTAGCAAAGTTTGTAGCCAAGTAAAGGAAGAGGAAGAAGTGCAGCCATGGAGAGCCTGGTTCCCTCTGCAGTGTCTTCAGGGAGCAGTTTTCTCCAGTTTCCATTTTTGCAGTATGTCATCTGCTGCCTTCAGTGTGGCATCCTCCTAAATAAACACCAGGGGTTCAGTTTGTGAGCTCCAGCCAGGTCCCCCCTCACTACATTTGTTGTTTGTACAAAAAAAACCCAAACAATTCTTGTCCTGTGTTTCATGTAATGCAAGCACAGCCAAACCTGAGGGGTGTGGGCTGGCCATGCCCAGCTGTGATGCCCTGGCCATGTGTCTCACCTTGGCGAAGCAGAACCGGATGAAACTGTTGTAGTTGTCCTTGTGGGCCTCACAGTAGAACGCCGAGAGTGGGATGGCCGCCAGTCCCTGGGGAGGGGAAGATGTAGAGTTATGTAACTGCCATGGGCAGGGGGCAAAGCTGTGACCTGTTGTTCACGAGTCTCATAGACAGGCTCATAGATGCCCTTGGTGCTCTGCTCAGGCTGACAAAGTTGAAACCTGACAGACCCCAAATGTCCCCCAGCCTTGGGCTGCAGGACACACACATGGGATGGGAGGGCCCCAGCCCTGCCAGTCACCATGGCCGTGACCCTAAAACCAAGCCTGGATGAGGACATTGCCTACTGATGCTATTGCTGCTGCTACAGGCTCCTTGTGAGGGCACAAACCACACAAACCACAGTGAAAAAGGAGCAGACAAATTTACCTTGTTCTTGACCATCCACTTTGCAAATCTGGAGTCGTAGGGCTCATCGGAGCTGGGGACATCAGGGACTTCAGATTCTGCAGGAGGAGCAGCACAGAGGCTGTGGCTGGGTGCCCCACCCCAAACCCACAGCCTCTGGGAGCTCGAATGTGTGGTCCCTTCCCTCTTTGGATGGTGTTTGTGCAGGTTCCTGTCCCTAGTAGTGGCACCAGGCTGAGCTGACCCCATTGCTCTGCCCTCCCCAAGCAACACCAGAACTCACTGAACTCGGAGATATCTGCCACCAAGAAGTAGGTGCCCTCAGGGATGATGGGTTTCATCCCCACCGCAACCAAGCTCTGGACCAGCTGGTCTCTCTTTTGCTGCAGTTCCCTGGGCAGTTGGACAAAGTAGCTGTCTGGTTTCCCATAGTGTTCAAGCTCCCTCTGGAAACCTTGAGCCACAGCATCCTGTGAAGGGAGAGGAAGCAGTGGGAAGATGGCCAAGGCTGGTTCGGGGGCTGTGGGGCTGGCTGCAAGGAGCTGCCTTACCTGTGCAGCTGTAGCACAGTGGTACACTGAGTTCTGGTGCACAGTACGCAGGTGCTGCAGCAGCCGGTTGGATCCCACAGTCCAACCCACCTATGGCCGGGAGAAGAGGGGGAAGGTGGTTAGATTAGGTGCCTCTTCAAGCTTTGGTAACACTTTCCAGACAGGGCTGTTGTAAAGTATTGGTATTTTGAGGAACTGAGGCTCAAAGTTAAGTGTGCAATTGTCCTCAGTGCTGTGCCCAGTGTGATCTAGAGCAAAGGGACAGGGATGGGGAGGCAATGAGGTGTTGCATGGGGAACTTACCTTCCAGCCAGTGACACTGAAGGTTTTTCCAGCACTCCCAATGATCACTGTGCGGTCCCACATCCCTGGCAAACTGGCTGGCAATAAAGCAAGAGAAATGCTGATGGCTCTGCCATGCTGATGTCTGAGCTGTGCTAGTGACATGGTGGGAGCTCTTTTCCCACCACAACCAAGATGGTCTCTTTGGGCCATGATGGCATCTTTCCCCTGGGTGGGCACCAAGGCACACCCTGAGACAGATTTCTCAACAGCATGTCTACATAATCAACTGGTTTTATACCCATATACCAGTCCTGAGGGTTCCCAGTGGTGCCAATATTACTTCCCTGCAACAGGGTAATTGCATGTTACAGAGACAGAAAGAAGAGACCTCTGAAATCATGCTGAAATGGATGTCCCAAAACTAGAGGCACCCAGAAAACTGGCTTTACACTGTAGGGGATAAAATCCAGTTTCACTGAAGCCAAAAGGCTCTTTTCTCCAGATCTCATGTTGTGAAGCCACAACTCAGTGGTTCTAGAAGTCAAGGCTCCAGAACAAAGCCCTGGTGTGGTGACTGAAATTGAAGTACAGCTCTAATGGGAGGTGGGCCTGCTAGAGCTGTACATGCAAGCAGCCTTTACAATTGCCAGGGGCCCCAGTTATATTCCCAGTTCCTTTCCTGGATGGAGCCACCCAAAGATGTTGTACCCACAGGAGAAGCCCAGGATCAGCCCCGCTGTTCTCCATACCGATGCGGATGTGCTCCTTCCCGTCGTACACCAGCCACTCGTACACTTCATCGCTGATGCAAAGGGCGTCATGCTTCACACACAGGTCTGCAATGAGCTCCAGCTCCCCTCGGCTGAACACCTGCAGCAGGCAGGGAGCGGAGCTGAGATGCAGCACGAGCAGCTCTGAGCACACAGTAGCCAACAGAACCCTCTTCCTTGCGTATCAGGAAGGTGGAGTTGCTGCTGCACCTCAGATGGGACTGGCCGAGCTGGAGCAGCCCAATGCTCTCTCAGGGCTGTCCCCATAAGCCAGAGGCATTACCTTGCCCAGCGGGTTGTTGGGTGAGTTCAGGACGATGGCTTTTGTCTGCTCACTGAATTTAGAAGCCAGTTCGGCCGGGTCCAGCTGCCAATCTGCACTTGACATCAATTTTCCTTCTTTTGGAGCTTTCTAGAGAGAACAGAGGAGAATCTCAGCTTGCTTTGCTGCTTCTGCTCTCCACTCACTGTTCACCATGATACAACTCCTATTCCCTCCTCAGTGGCACTGCTCTGACCCACTCACCGGTCTCAGCGAGATGTACACAGGTGTCCCACCAGCCATTTTCACCATTGGCTCATAGCAGTCGAAAAAGGGCTCAATGATTATAACCTGGAAGAGATGGGGAATGTCAGTACCCTCCTGGCCCTGCTCAGATCTTAATCCCCCAATTATTGCAATATGGAGAACATGCATTACCAATGGGCAGTGAATTGGGAAGAACATCACTTGGGGCAAAAGAATTATTTTGCCTTACACAGAAATGAGTCTGTGCCCTGCTGCAACTTTCCCTTTAGAAGCTCAGATAGAGAAGTGCGGATAAAGCCTTTCTGGCTCTGCAAACGGGCTAAAAAAAACAGGCTGCAGCTGCCAGCAGATCTAGAAAGAGTTCTCCCAGGGAAAGGCTGCTCATATGACAAGCCCAGTTCCCAGGGTTACCTCATCGCCTTCATCAATGAAAGCCTGGAAGCAGCAGAAAAGGGCCTGGTATGCCCCCACAGTCACCATCACATTGGTCATAGGATCCAGGTCTCGACCAAGCAGCTTCCCAAAAAGCTGGGCTAGGATTTTCACCAGTGGTGGATGGCCCTGTGGGGTGAGAGGAACAGGTGGGAAGTGACTGGTAGAAGCCTTCTGAAAGAGGAATGAGCCCACAGATGGGGCTGGGTACTCAAGTTCCCTGGGTCTGGTTTCACTACCACGATGGTTGCACCTCACATACTCAGGTGCCTTGTGCCATGGGAGGCAATTTAGCAATAAACCCTGTGTCTCCTGGTCCTTCACATCAGCCAGTGTGTCCCTGAAGCAGAGCGGGGACATGTTTCCTTCCTGAAACAATTCTCTCCTTTTTCCCTTGCAAGGTACCCCAGCTATTGCCAGCTCTGTCAATTGCAGGTGACAGAAATCCCTCTTAAATAAGAGCAGCTTCTCCTTGCCCAGCCAGCACTGTCAGAGGAGCATTTCAGAAACTAGTAACTACCACCCTGACCTCTGCAATGGCAAAGCAGGATTCTGGAAAGAAGACAGAGGCAAGGCTGTAAGGTATTACAAG